AAATATATATATAACTATATTATAAACAACTGTCCAAATAAATTAATACTATTTTCAATATAAATATATATAGTTTTAAATATATTATTCATATATTATAAACAAACTATTATATTACAATTATTTGAACTAATATTAAATAAATTGATAATAAAAAAGGTTTTTTGCTGACAATTATTTGTTTCTATGCTTTCAATTTGAATGTTACAGCATTTGAAGCAAAAGTTTAAAAAAACGAAACAAACAATTGTTCGCTCATTTATAGTATTATTTTTCTTTTCAATTATTTCTTTGAGATAAAATTATTATAAAAAGATTAATATATCAAATAAAATGTTATTAAAAATTGATAAGTAATGCGATAAATGGCACTACTGTTTGGTTAAGACTTTTAAACCAACCAATCAATTCACTGCTGGACTCTGTTGTCATAAATTGTAAACATTTTATCAGTATTTGTATGGAAACACTTGAAAAAAGTTTAGTGCAATTAATTGAATTAAACTAAGTTTGTATTATCAAACAGAGAAATTGATTACACGTTAATTAATTAAAAGTTTAGCATACAATCGATTATCATATTTTCTAGTTATTTATTTGCAAATTATTTATATTTTATCAAATCAATTATAATTCAAATATTATAATTAGTATTTGAATGAATATCTTGTTGAAAATAATTTATTTAGTTTATTATTGATATCTATTAATGAGGTTCTAATTGATAAAAATGATAATAAACTTATAAAAAATTTATAAATTTAATTTTGAAAAAATATTGATAGAGAGAGAGAGAGAGAGAGAGAGAGAGAGAGAGAGTTAATCCCAATACAGGATATCCATTAGAAATGTTGATTTTTTACGGATGTCAAGCATATCGATACTACCAATTGTTTTATTTGATAACTCTTGAAATCAATTACTTTATTACACACACACACACACACCCACTAATGAGATGATTAGATTAATTTTTAACTCTAAATAATAAATAAGTACTCATTATTTTAATGATCTCATCAAGAAAATTGTTTTTTTTATTGATGGACGGATTTTTAATTAAAAAAATTATAATAATTATATATTTTTTATAATAACAGTAAATTTTATTATTTGTATAATATAAAGCATTTTTATATAGTTTTTATTTATTATAATAAAAATATTTTAAGGCATTTTTTTAGTTAAACACACAATAATTGTGTAAATATTACACAAAAATATTTATTTAATAATAATTTTTTATGAAAATTAATGAATTTTTATTTAAATAACAGTAAAGTCTATGATTTTGTATGTTTTTTTAGCAAAACGTTTTAATGTTAACTCTACCGGAAACCTAATTATTTTGAATAACTAACATATAATTTTACTAAAGAAATGTGTATTTTTAAAATAATTAGATTAATTGTTTATATTATATAAATAGCATTTTTCAGTAATAGATATAAAAAAAAATTATACATTAATTGTATAAAATATTTTTAGACAAACAAAAAATATATTAAATATTTAAAATAGTTATACAATGTATTACAATTTTTAATCTTAAATAAAAAATAAGATAATGATTTTTTTAGTGAGTAAATTGAATTTAAAAAAAATTATTTTATTATAAAATATGTTAATATTATATAAAACATGTACTTTTAATAAAGTGACCAGGTATTGACATCTTGTGAAAATAAAATATAAATTGTGTGATAATTTATCATAAAAGTGTAGCTATTTTTTGATATAATTTTTTTTTTAAGGAAAATCTCAACATTTTAACAATTTTAACATTTTTCTCTAATTTTAATTTCAAATATCTGTTTTAAAGAATAAAAATTTGTTAATTAATCATTTTTAATATTTGTTTATTACGTTTAAGTAAAACATTAGTCAAATTGAAATATGAAATCACAGAAGTGTTACATTTTATAAATAAAAATTAAACAAAAAAACATTTTCAAACAAAAAATTTTTGATTTGAAAAGTGTGTTATCATTTGATTTGATATCTAATCCAAAATAAACATTAAAATTGTTTCATTTCATTAGATCTGAAGCTATAAATGACATAAAAATCTATTTTTAATTTTTTCATTTATAAATTCATTTGAAAAATAATGTTTGACTGAGACTTCAAAAATGCTTTTAAGATCGCTCTCTCTCTCTCTCTCTCTCTCTCTCTCTCTCTCTCTCTCTCTCTCTCTCTCTCTCTCTCTCTCTCTCTCTTTATTCATTATAATTAATTATTTGGATAACTATTAAACTTTATGCCGGAATTTATTGGCAAAAGTGTATGGTTTTTGTTTAATTTGGCACTAAATGATCGCAATTTTAGACATTTCTCTCGCTTATTGCTAATTATATGTACAATAAAATAGTAGTATAAAGTTTTTATTTTTAAAATTGATGTTTTGAATTTATAAAAAAGTAAAAGAAAAAACATTTGAAATGCAATTTATATTCAATCAAAAGTTATTTGCTTTTCTAAATGTCAAAAGTTTATGTGTGTTTTAGCACACATTATGAAAAAAATCCTAACTAATTATAATACTGTAGTAATTATAAATTTATTTAACGTTTGAAGCGAGAAATTACTAAACAAATATTTTTAATATTATTATTATTACTAAAATACTGCATATATTATATATATATAAATACTGGTAAATGTGTATTATATGATAAATTAATCAAATACTCTTATTGGTTATATGTGTATACATATGTGTATGTTAGTAAAATTCAAGTTTGATTATTAAATTATTTTCTTAAAAGTATTATACATATCATAAGCATATTATTTTTTGAGTTTTTTTGTGGACACTATTGCTATAACTAAATAAGTAACCTATGATATAAACAACTAAATTGTCTAAAAATTATAAATTAAATAATATCTACATGAAATGCCAATTTAGTTACATATACCATATGGTTTCAATAATAAGTGACAATTTTAAATGTTTATAATTGATGATTTCAAATCTAAATAATATTATAAATAAATACATGATTTTGAATCAGTCTAATTGAAATTAATAGATAATTAAAACGAAACAAAATCATAAATATTTAATAATTAAATAATTACACGCAGACTAGAATCAATAATTTTAATCTACATTAATATAATATACAATAACCAAATGTGTAAATGTTTAATAACTCTTAAAAATTAGTTTTAATAAATTATTAATATATAGTTACACACTAAATGAATGATTCAAAAATATCATGTAATTTATAGGATTAATCAAAATATTTAATGTAAACTATCACTGAATTTATTTTGATTTAATTGTTAATAGTTTTCATGAAACACACAAAAATGTATTTTTTATTTCTTTATGAATTATAATAAACATATTAATAAATGCATTTGTTATTAATATGTTAATAATTAGCAACAAACTAAAAATCACTCCTAAAATATATATTTTAAAAATCCCTGAGATTCAAAAGTAATAATAAAATAATTTATGTATAATATATTATTTATTAATATATATATTATAATTCATATGAGAAAATTTAATATATAAAAAATAACATTTTTGTGTAATAAATAAATAAATAACATTTAATAATACGATGCAATGTAACAAATAAATTAAAATTTTGTGTCTCTAATGTCAACGTGTTTTTGATTATCATTTAAATTAAGAGACACTGAAATAGGAGTGTGTGAAACATGTTATAAATTACATAATAATAAAAGATAATTATTATATCAAATAATAATGCATAAAAACAACACATATTATAATATTAATATTAAAAATAACAAAAAGATGTCATCTGATGAATACCTGGCCACTCAATGGTGTGCATCAATGCTTTTTTTAGTATAATAATAATTTTAAAAAACAAATATAAAATTTTAAGTGTAAATAGAGAGATAATATGCTAGGCTTTTAGGTTTAAACCGGTAAATATGGTTTTTATATAAATTAAATAATAATAATGTATAATTAATATAAGCAAGTTATAAAACAATAACAAATTTTAAATTTTCATTAATTGCCTTGATTAAATTAAGTGATTTCCATTCAAAAAAAAAACATTATCAACAACATATTAACTACAATAAAACTGCAGATTATTATATGAAACAGTATTTATAATAATAATACTTATTAACTATTATTACATATAAGTATAAAAAAGTAAATCTTTGCTTAATTTTTGTAATTAATGTAATTGTTATATGATATGAAAGGCCGACAGTATTTAGTTAAATGTTGTATTAAATTAAATGCACTTTTATTATACACATAATAAAAATTGATTTTTAAGGCATTTTTCTCAAATTGATATATAAAATGATTGAAAAGATGATACAAAATACATTATATGAATCTTTTTTGTGTTTTGTAAAACATTTGAAATGATTGTTATGCATATAATTAATGTACTTTTTGGAGTTAAATATGAGAAATGATGATAAATAATATATAATTTGTGTTATGCGAAAAAATATATATTGTATTTATATATAAAATATATAACTTATTAATAGCTAATAATAATATAATTAAAAAGAGACTTTCGTCAAAAAAATTTAAATTCATTTTAAAATAATATAAATAATATTTCAATCATTATAAATATATACAAATATACTATTTTTAAAACTTATTTTGATTTGTAAAACTATGAATCATTTGATTTGGTTTTGTCTTAAAAATAAACTTTCAAAACATTTTCACAATTATAATGAATTCAAAAAAAAATTCATTGGTTTTGTTGAGAATTTTATATTAGAGAAGCTATATATTGTAAATTACTTTATATATATATAAAAAGGCACTAAAAATTAGTGATTGATTGCAATTATCATTAGTAGACCATTAAGTAAATGCAAAAATCATTTTCACGTATAGTTTTGTTGCTTATGTTTCTTCTTTGATGCGATTTTAAGTAGAAATAGAAGTAATAATAATAATAATAATAATAATAATAATAATAATAATAATAATAATAATAATAATAATAAGTGATATATATAATAATTATTATATAATTATTGATGACATTCATGAGTGTCGACTACGAGTTGTCTGAGCGTAAAGAGTTCCGTGATATACAATGCCATTGATTTCCATACTGACTGCCAGTTGACTCTCTATTTGAGATCTACCGTCTGTCCAAAAAAGCATATAAACACAATCACACATTATATTAGTCAACATTTACGAAACGATTAACTTAATTAGTAAAAACGTGACAAAAACAACAGTACCTCTATTCATAACTTTGATGTTAACGTTGGGCAACGCTTGCATTAAAAATCTTTCCTAAATGTATCAAAATTTAAATGCATTAATATTATTGCTAATAAATGTATAGATAATTACAATATGTTAGGACATATGTATATATACCTCATCGGTTAGAAACCGTTTAGCAGGAGTTACTCCGAGTGCGTCCTCCATTTTGGTTCGGGCCTCCAGTGCTCTGAGTGTAGCCTCACTGGCATTACGTGGGGTCACCTCAAGATTCAATGCCTCAGACTGTGGTAAGGGATGGTGAGTGGAAAAGGGATGCGATGGCGGAGACCTACTTCCATTGTCTTCTTCGCCTTCTATATAGGAAATATAAATAAAATTATTTTTTTTAAATAAATAAATTATATTATAAGATATTATAAGATATATATATATATATATATATATATATATATATATATATATTGATTAATCTTTAGAAATCTATTTACAGTAAAAACAAGAAAAATGCAAAATTTTTCTTCAATGATCCCAACGATAATTTGATAAAAGATATTAAAGATAAAAAAATTAAATATTAAGAGATATAAAAAATTTGCAATAAATAAGTAGTAAAACAAGTGATTGATTTCTCAAAATCAAAATAATGCCAAACTTATATTAGTTATCATTGATGACCCATGTGTTGATAGGTGAGTGTGTTTATTACATTTAGCAATGTTTGTATTGATTTAATTTAAAATCAGATTTTTGATCAAATTATAAAAAGTAAGGAATAAGAGGAAAGTCAAGTCATGGTAAGTGTCAGATTGGGATTCAATTATAAACTACAGTCTTAATGGGCGTTCACTGTCTTATAAATGAAGCACTCATTTCGTGATCATTTTTAAGACATGAGAAATGATCTCTCTCTCTCTCTCTCTCTCTCTCTCTCTCTCTCTCTCTCTCTCTCTCTYTCTTTCTCTAAATTAAACAAATATATATAAATATAATGAAATTTATCAAATTCTAAGAGAAAGACTACTTAACGCATAAAAATGTATTTATAATAGAAATAAGTTATTTAACATAATATTAATAGAAATAAGATATAAAGTGATTAATAATTCATTGCTGCAAAAATATCTTTTTTTTAATTTTAAATATATATATATACTGTATATATGGACTCAATGTCCTTGAATTTCAAACAAATAATATTAATATTATTCTCATTTTTACGTAATAATATTTATAGTTTAAATATTTTTTTAAAATAAAGACAATTCTGCAATGCATACGAAATAAAAATTGTAAAAAATTATACAATAAAATATATATAGAAATATATATAAATGTATTGAAATAATATATTTAAAATGCTGTGTTTTATATTATAATGTATGGGTTATAAAGACGGGATAAATTAGTTTAAGTGCAATGACTTTTTTTAATAACTATATGTTTTAAAATAATATAAACGATATTTTTTAACAAAACTTTATGAATACTTAATATATTATTTAATATTTAAATTACTGCTTTTATTACACAATCAGTAATCGATAAGAGAGTGAAAGAAAGAAAAAATATTATAAATTTATAAAAATAAAGGAAACAAAAATCATTTGTCTTTTAATTGCTTATTAGTAGACTATTAAATATATATTTATAAACTTATATAATTTATATTATTGTATGAGTTATTAATTGTTGCGACAAAAAAATTGTCAAAAATTGTTTAGCTATTATATAATCATTTGGTAATTACTGTATAAGCATTTCTAATATAAAAATTCATTTAAATAAATGCCATATATATATATATTAAATTAAACAAGTTTACCTGAATTTATATGTAGTATATACATAATATGTATGTAAAGTTATACTAAATATATATAACTTTATATACATATTATGTATATACTACATATAAATTCATGTAAAATTTAATAATTTAATGAGATTGTTTGAAAAAATATTTTCTTGAAAAATAAAGTGAATTTTTTAGCAAAATAAAAATAGTATTAAAAATTAAAACAAATAAACTAATTTAAAAGTCTAATTAAATGCTAAACATGTTGATTGGGTTCAGACCTATCTATAAATTGGTTGTCAAATATTTGACTGCATGGCTGGCAATTGGATGGCAATCACATTATAATAATTGTATTCAGAAAACAAATAAAATAAAAATATGAAACAAATCAAACTATAATTTAGAAAAAATAATGATTTAAATTTATAGCCAAAAAATACAGTACATTTGGTTTAAAAATATTTCATAATATTTCTTCTCATAAAAAATATCATAAATCAGTTTTTTAGTATTTATTTTTGGAGTCAATTATTATTTTAAAAAATAGTAATCAAATAATATTTTTATTTATTTCTCACTAATAATTCATACAATAATATTGTCTTAATAAAAGAGTTTGACTTTTAAAATATGTGTTGTATTTGTTTTAATCCATTGGCGTATTGTTTACTCAAGTATTTATATATCTTATTATAACTCGTGAGTTAAACGCCTGAAAAAATGCATTAAATTCTTGACTACAAAAAAATATTTTATTTGTATTTCATAATAAAGTTTAATTGTAAAGCCAAGTCTTGTTGTGTAATAAATTATTTGCAAAAACAAAATTTCTCACACATTTTGGCTCTAAGTTACACACATTTAACAGTAAATAAATGCGATTACTTTAATGTAAGTGAACACTAACTCCCATTTAAAACTATTAATAAAGCTTTTCAGTGAAAACTTGTTTATAAAGATTTAGAGAAACTTTTATAAGTATATAAAAAAAGAGAAAACAATATATTATAATATATGAGATAATATGTGATGAAAATCTCATTTTTTAAAGAAAAATGTAGTTTTTAATAATTTTTAATTAAATCTCAGAAGAAAATGCAATGTTTGACGTTAAATATTTTTAGTGTTTAGACAAACTCATAATTTTTATTAATTAATTTTTATTTAACAATTTTAGATGAGATCTAAATGTTGATAATATGATTAATACAGTAATAATAATAATAATAAATAAAATTAGAAAATACATTAAATTTGATGCTTTTTTATTTGAAACAAATAAAACACGTTTTATTAGATTGAAAAATGTAATTTTTATAGTTAATGATTATTTAATTGGTTGTTAGTATTTGAGTAACAGTGCAATACAGGTATGTGGTATGTGGTGGTGACAAGCGAGAGGTGCCCTATAATTGGTTTGATCTAAGATTGTTTTGCTCATACCTGATGACAGTCCCTGTGAATTGTGACCATTTAATGGGCGCGAAACAAGACTTAGAGGTGAAGTGTGGTGATGTCCGCCCTGATTGCGGTTCATATGTTGCGGAGGAGGCGTTGCGCCCATCATTTCTGGGTACTGACCATAACTGGATCGCCGGCCTTCCCTACGATTGCCGTCAATGGCTGACTGAAGTTCATCGGGTGAACTGAGCTTCTCTTTCTCGCACTCGTATGGATACAAGTATTTCATATATCTGTGACAACGAATCACATCATCAGTTCTCAACTTATCATTCATACCTTATTATTATATTATATAATTTATTACTACCTATAGTAATACATATCTACAGGCTATATATTAATGTATATATATTTGTGTGTGTGTTTGTGTAGTGTAGTGTAATGTTTGGAGTTATTGGGATTTATCTTTTATTAAGTATTTGTATGTGAATGTGATTCACAGCAATTTTGTTTTATTGAAAAAAATTATAGAAACAAAACAATAAAAAGTAATGCAATTTCTTATATTATAGATATCTTATATCTCTTATATGATTAGTAATAACTGCTTAGTCAGTCATCAAAACAAGTTATTTAAAAACTGAGACTACAGTCTCGTAAAAATTCATTACTTCTTTACGCCAATCAATTTACTATACAATTGCTATGAAACACATCGAAAACCATTGACTATCCAATCAAATAAATATTATAGTCGCCGACCAAATATATGATATAAGTTTCTTTATGTTTATATATATATTTTTATATGTTTTCTATAAATATATATTCACCCAACTGTTTGTTATATATTTATGCATTACTTTATTATATTTTATGGATACCCCACTCCATACTCACTCTCCCGCCACAATCATTAATAATTATACATATCTATAGCTCTTAAACATATACATGATATTCAACTAATGAAAGTTATACCAATTTTATGTGTCTATTGATCACAAAAAGCAAGAAAACTAAAAACAATTGGATATTGTTTTAGGCAATCAAAAAATAGTTGCTTTATATGATTATTATGATCTCTAGAAATAAAACCTCTTTTTCTTGTTTATAATATTTATAGATTAGAGCCCTTGATATGCATATATACCTCAAATTGATTATACGATTGAAAGAATATAAAAAAGAGAAAATATATAAGATTTTCATTACAATTATATTATATGATAGGCATTGAAAAAATAGTTGAGAGAGAATTGTTGGGAATTTATGGCCAAAAAGCTAAGCAATTATTTTATGTCTTCAACCTTGAAGTTGAATGAAATGCTATTAAATGGTAATACAAAATACAGAGTGGCGACACTTAATTGTAGTCGTGTTTGCTTATTAACTAATATCATATACATATACAAATATAATATATATATATATATATATATATATATATATATATACCTTATATAAGATATATATTATGTATATATATATATATAAATTTATATAGATGTATATATTATTTTTTGTATAGTGTCTCATATAGTACTATAAGCTTTTAAATATATTTATATATATATATATAAACAGTCAGTGATTTATAATTTCCTGAATTACTATTTTTTGCATTAATTAATATTAATATTATCATTATTATTGCATTAGCTCTAATAGTGTCTCAAAATTTATATACATATATCTATAATGAAATATATATTTTTTATATTATATATATATTATGTATGAGTTTACTAACTTATAGATAGTTATTTTTATTGTATAATTTATCTATTATGACGTTCAATACTTGTTGGCTCATAATAACAAAAAAAAATTAGCATTTCTTTAATTAGTTTTTATCTCAACACTTGAAAAACATTTATTTTCGCTAGAAATTAATAAATAAGAGGAAAATATATATTAAACTAATATATTCATTGCATTTATTTTTCATAATTGCATGATTTTAGTAATTTATTCCAATTAATTGCCAGCAAAAATAAAAATATTAATATAAAATTTTGTGTCATTTAAACAATAAAATTAATCTTAAATTTTATAATGAATTAATCATCAATTTATTATGTTTTTGTTATTGAGAAATTAAAGTGTTAAAAATTATTAACTATTAGTTTATCTATTATTTCTAATATTTATTATTAGGTTTTTCCCTAACTATATTTGATTGCTTTTAATAAATTACTTTTATATTGAATGTGATAAATGTGATAATTATGCTATTAGATTTTTAAGTGAAAATTTAATTTAATTAATTAATTAAATTTTTTATATAGTTGTTATTGTACTGACAGCATAAAGTGTGATTGAATATATTTGTTTAATTACAAATAGCAATACCAATAATTTATATATACATTTAAATACATGTAAAGAACAGGAGTGTCAGGTATGGTATGTTGAGGGTTGGTATGATTAAGGGTATGTTATGTTATGATATGGACATACTGTGTGCGTAATGTGAAGGCAGCGCTTGTGATACTTGACGGAAGATTGAGTCCTTTGGTTATTTCACGCCATATCTTCTTATTGATCACTTCGACGAGTCCACCCCTGGCCACAACCAATCGGTATAATTCATAGAGATCTAAGACCTGTTTGGCCATTATAGGAATTCGGTTTACTGGAGTTCCTATCATAGCACCGATACCAACGACATTGCCATTGCCATCAAATGGCAAACAGTAAAAAAAATAAACAACAATTAGTTATCTTAGAAATGCGATATTATATATGTATTAATATATGATGTATGTATGAATAACTATTAATCATTTTTGGTTATAATCGGTAATCATATTATTATTATTTTTTGTATTAACGACTGGTAATGTCAGCTCTCAGGTTACGCAACGAGTATTTGATTGCCATTTAAAGCATTTGATCGACAATTTATATAACAACGAGAAAAATCCCGATTCTCGACAAACCAAAACAAAGTGTTTTATGTTATTAACAGTTATTTTTGCGGGATATAGAGGGATACGGTAGCAATATATAGATATATATATATATATAACATTTTAGTGTATGGATTTGTTAGATATTTATTACCATTAAAACTTATAATGAAAAGCCATTAAATGTGCGATTATTTTTGGATATTTTTAATGATAGTTTGGGAGGTTATTATATAAGTAAATAAGATTTAAGAGGGAACGACACCACACATACTTTCTCTCATAAACATTACGTTTTCCAATGAGAGACACATTTTAGACATAAAATTATATAAAAAGGGAATTAGAGAATGAAAGAGAAATAACATTAAATGTGTATTTTTAACAACTTTTTGCTAATTTATATCAAACATAAGTTAGATTTTAAACATAATTTATTTGACATTAAAATTATAGTTAGAGATATAAAAAAATAATATCATTTCTAATGAAATCTAGTAGTAGTGATATTATTATGACCCAAATTCAATTGAAACTAATGCTATATAATTAATATTTATATAAAAAAATTTAGGCTTTGCAGCTGTTATTCATTAAAAATTTATGAAAATTTATTATAAATTTTAAACAAAATGAATATTAAATTAAATATATGTTAGCAAAAATTTACATAAAATTTATTATAAATTACATATTTGTCTTAATGAATCTAATATTTTAGTAGAAATAGCTTTATATTAAAAGTTTATTATATGTTTTATATTAAAAACATATATTTATTGGCTATTAAATTATAAATAATAGCAGAAAAATGTTTAATTCAAGTAAATTTTAAAATTGGAATTATCATTTTACTTATTTTTGTGATTTAGTAATTTTATTGTTTCAAAAACATTAAATATTAAAAAACTTAATAAATTAGAAAAATATTATATATATGCTTATTAATAATATAAATTTTATCTAAAAACTAAACAAAATATTATTTTTTGCTCATTTAACTAAAATTATTAATAACATATAATATTAATATGAGTTTTTACTTTGGATATTTGGCGTCAAAATATAAATATTTTCACCATTTATATATGTTATCATATACTGTATGTATATATAAGCACTTTTAGTTGGGCATAGTTTTGGCATAAATTGCGGTGAAATAAGATTTGAAAGTTTGAGTTTTGGAAACAAAGAGCAAAAAAGTAAATAAATAGCAATTCGTGAGAATAACAATATATTTATATAAATTATAAATTATAAATATTATATATATAAAGCATTTTATCTTATTGTATATATATGTGTATATATTTTAAGTTATTATTCTCATTGAAAATAAAAAACTATTTAATCAAATAATTATTCAATATTTAAAATGTTTTTAAAAGCATAACTATTAATCATAAAATTAAAGCGAGAATTTTATACATAATGGGAGAGAAACAAAATATATATACATATTAATAATTTATTTACTTTATATATATCTAAATAATAATTCATTCATATATTTTTGTTTTGTTAAAAAAGTATTTTCATTATTGAAATGTCATGACTTCACTGAAATGAATAATAGTTTTTGCGTTAAATTGAGAGCCAATAGAGTCAGACAAATGTAATTAAAATTAAAGAAGTTTTGGATATCCGAGTAAAGAGACCTTTCATTTTGATATAACATTTGCTATATTTTATGATTTAGTCTCACATAAAGAGCAACAAAATTATGATTAATGAGTAGTCTATATGTTGAAAGATTTCACTTTATTTTATTGAAAATATTATGAAAACTCATGAACTCATTATTTTCTCTTATTGTTTCAAATCATATATTATTTTTTGATTAATTTTTAAAAAATATAGTATAAATGCATTTATATATCACAAATATTTAATATCCTTTATTTACTTTTATTTGTTAACAATATATTATTATTTTAAATGAAGTGTAATTGAGAACTGATATAATCTTAGTTTTAAAATCAAGATTTAAAAAAAATAAATAAAATTAATTAATTGACTGTTGAGTGCAATAGTATAATATGAAACTATAATTAATATTAAGTATTTTGTTTGTCTGTAAAATTTGGATTAAAATATTTTTCTCGTTTTATGTTGTTTTGAGGCATTTATTTATCCAATAGTATGAATGTTATGTTTGTCTGAAAAACAAATGGTTTGATAAACAAAGTGCCATAAAATGCTATATTTTGTTGTCTAAGACTGTGTACTATAAAAGAAAAATTTATAAAAAGTTTATCGCAACGGGATATTAGTGAAAGAGAGGACATCAAGTTTGGAAGTGGGCTACTGGTGCCCATCATTACTGTGCCCATCATTACTGTGCACATCATTTAGTCGATTGTCTTATAATGTTCATTGATTCCGGTAATTCAGTTGACATTATGGGTCGATATATTAGGGATTGTCATTGATTGCCATTTCTATTGCCATTTATTACAATATATCTCCAGATGTTGTTACTATAGCTCATCTGTGACTCAATTTATTCACCAAATTTTTGATTTAAATAATAGATAATTAGGTCTCTGTTTTCTCTGTTTATGACCATCGGAAAGCCTACAATGGATAGCCCTTCCCTTTTTTGGTCGAATCAAAAACTTTTTGGTTTTTGCTAAATTCAATACTTTAGTAATAATATAACAAAATATTATAGATTAGTAGAGAAAACATTTTGGGAAAACATTAAGTTTTCAGTGACGAGGGGATAGTTAGTGCAAATGGGGGACTAAATTGGCAATCGATGGCCACCTCTTTGTTCAAATGGCAGCATAACTGTATTGCGTGGTATTGATGGACGGACAGAGTGGTTGGTCGACACCCACCCCCTAAAGACATGGTTTATAAGAATTGAACTTTTCTTTAATGTTTAGATAGAGAGTCAATGTAGAGATGACCCTGAAATCAAAACCGGGGGCTATTCGACCCCTTATGAGTGGTAATACCAGATGAAGGGGAAGAGTGAGAGAGCACATAGCAAGCGGTCAGTTGTGGCTGAGCTGAAGGCAAATATTTTTACTGTACTTCCCATTTGTGGCAAAAGTCAAATTCAAGAAGAGAAGGGGAGAGTTATCTGAGATGAGGGGATGGCATATAAGCTATAATACATTATTCACATTTATATATAGCAATCATCTATTAGTTATACTATAAGTCTATACAACGATTTCAGTTTATAAAGATTGAGAAAGATTTGTACACAAACTGACCGCCAATTCCATCAAAATGCCGTTCAATTGGTATATGTCTTATAAACGGCAGCTGTGGCTATGGCTCTGCGCCTCAAATACAGTACTACTATATGGCTATATAACCATATTTATTGGCATCGTTGGCAAAAAGGGGGACATAACATAACATAACATAACTGATCAAATGAATGACTGAACTCTGCAAGAGAGTGAGGAACAGCTCCGAGAGATCGCAAAAAAATGCAAACCAAATGAAAGAGCCATAGAGTGAGAGCCAGAGAGTCACTATACTACCCGTCCCCTGATTTATAGCTATAGATTAGCACAAATGTGAGTCTCAATAACATTTCGATACCAAACCAAATGTTATATTTAGAAACTACTTCTCTCTCATTATTAATACAAAACACATTCAAAATATACACAACAGACACACAACACGTCTATTATATTATCAAACATAACATTACGGGAGTAAACATTCAATATTTAAAAGTAACAAAATATTGCCAAACATTTTCCTATATAAAAACAACTTATATTATTGCTATTTCTTAATTATATATTTGTTTTGATATATTCAATATTAGATTTTTATATCCTATATATTTAATTTATATAAAATTCATATAAAATTTATAAACAATAATAAAAAATAAAGTCAACGGACTTGGGTTTGTGGGACATAATAATAATAATATGTTTATTGAATGATTAAATCATTAAATCGACAAAAAAGTTCTCAATTTCTCAACAAATGCTGTTTCCGTTTCATATGATTGACGCCTATATTTGTGTAATATTTTGTGAATTACAGGTCTAAGTCCTTATATAAGTCCCCCTAAAAAAACTAAGACATATATAGTAAATATGTTTTCATGACTTACGTATAACTTACATAATAGATGCCGGTTCCCGAAGAGGAACTGCTCTCGTAATAGGAAGGGTTTGTATGGTGTTGTGTAAGGGGACAGGCATTTGAGAAACGAGAGGCATATGAGTAAAAAAAGTAACCCAAATAAGAAGGGATCGACCGTTTCTTCTGTAATAACAATGAACTGAAGGACAGGCTCTCTCTCTCTCTCTCTCTCTCTCTCTTTCTCTCTCTATTTGAAGTCCATTTAATGTCAGAGAAGGTCAGCTCATATAAGGATTGGTCACAACAATCACAATCATAGCTCCAACATATGCAACACAGCTATCATTTATTTAGTCCTTTCTTATATATGCCCATTATTTCTCACATAAAAATAGCAATCATTTTAAACCAAATATATTACTTGTAAAATATATTTTATTCCCACGTTTTGACCTGAACTCTGGTCCATAACATTATAAAAAATAGTCACAAAATTTAAATCAATTAAAAAATATATATCCAATAACTGATATATAGAACGGAAAGAATATTATGTATAGAAAATAAATAAATTTCATTTTATGTTTTTAAACGAAAAATATTGAAAAACATTTAAAAATAAATAATATATTTGTCTTATATTTTCCTCAAAATGAATTATCATTTATTATAAGCAGCAAATGTTTGATAAAAATATACAAATTAGTCAAAAAAGTTAAACTAAAAGATCTGTTTGAATGTTATTTAGCTTAAAAATAGCCAATAAATGGTGTCATAACTGTGTTTTAATTGATGCATAAGTTGTGCATATTATGGGTAGTAAACAACATCTGGACCTCTCATGTATTGTCTTACTCTTTAGTAGGGTATCTCTCAAATACATATTATGGTACCACATATATAGTGTAGATATACATATAATATATATATATTATAGTATACCAAAAAGTGTATACAGTATACATAGCAAACTGTTGTGTATATAAATGTTTAGTAGTATTCATCTGAGAGACACATTATTTGTGTTGTTTAGTGTCTTTCAGAGGAGAGGGGAAGACATTGGAGAGTGATGTTCCCCAACCATAGCCAACATTTAATAGTCTTAAGCCATGCAAATGTGGGTTCTGTCCATTGAATACTTTTACTTAAATAACTTGTTTTTCACATCATTTTCATCTAAAAATATCTTTTATAGAGAATGAGTGAGATGTAAGCCACGAAAAGATGATTGAGATATAGGGGAAGACATTAAAAAATGTCGACAAAAAAGTCATTTTTGTTTGTTAGGCATACAGATAGTGATAGAAGAAGCCGTTTAGTCCAAAAAACAGGGCAACAACTCAATAATTATTATTATATTCATATACTGTATACTTAAGAATTTTTGCAATTTTAGAGGGAAAAGGAGTCAATGATAGGACTGTCATCCGTGAAGGGGACAGACAAGAGACCGATCGACAATCAGATTAAAAGCATCTCTTTATTTATAATCTTTTATTTTTAATTTTTTGTTTCAAACAAAAATGTTTTAATAATTATTTCTGATTAAAATTCTGTTTACTATTTGAAGGAATTGGATGGCCAACCAAAATAGCCTCAAGTGCTGTGAATATGTGTGAGCTAAAAGAGATGCCTTTTTGTCATAAATGCAATTTTACACACAAAAATGTTTACAAAACAAATAAAAAAATATTGTGTTTTCATTAAACAACATAACATTAAACGGGGAATAAGAGAAAATAAGAGAGAGAGAGAGAGAGAGAGAGAGAGAGAGAGAGAGAGAGAGAGAGAGAGAGAGAGAGAGAGAGAGAGAGAGAGAGAGAGAGAGAGAGAGAGAGAGAAATAAGTTATAAGTTATTTTCTAGTTAATGGCAGTTAGAGATGTATAAAATGTTAAATTTTGAATAGTAATATGTGTTGAGAGTATTATATATATATTTATATATATATACTGTACTGTATATACTGTATATGTTTTGTGTTTTGTATTTATGTATGTATTAAAGTATAAGAAAAGTGCAACAGTTAGGCCATTGAAAGTTAATTTGTTATTCGCAGAAAAAAATTGTAATTTGAGGCACAAAAAGTTAATTTGTTAAGAATAGAGAGACAAACGGCAGAAAAAAATTTGTTTCTTTGTTTTGTTTGATTGGTTTGGTTTTTGGGCAAAAAAAATTGCAGTGAATTTGCAAAATAACGGCTAATTCACGAAATGGTTAAGCCTTTCATATGGCCTCCAGAGTTAAGTTTGAGAGGAGTAGTAATAGTAATAGTAGTAGTAGTGCTTAATAACTGTTAGCCCATATGTTAAACGAATTAATACATGGTTTGCTTAGGGATGGCATAGCATGGATGGTATTGCATGATATCCTCTCACATAAACACAACTGGCCTCACAAAAATTGAGGTCCACTTCATAACTACATTTCCATCATTGAGAGAAAATTAGGGGAACCTTAATGTGTAAGTATGAGTAGGAATAAAGTGCAGTAATTCACAATTATTTAATGTGCCATAGGGTTGGCTCAGGCATATTATGTTGTTGTATGAGTTGAGCAAACTGTTGTGCTATTGGGCCATAGGGAGCATCAGTTTTCTTATTCAAGGATTAGAGATATTCAGTCATGTTGTGTATGTGTTGTGTTGTTTGGGAATCATTATATATATGATGAGTTAAATAAAAGTAAGGGAGGGGTGACTCCCCTTTAACAGTCTATATCATAATGTATGCCAATATTTCCAGGAAAACGGAGAGCAATTGATAGGAATTGAGTGCCCGAGAAGGCGCCGGTAGATTGAAATTACTGTAAAAAGCAGTAATTCTTGTGCCATCACTTGAGCCAATCCAATGACAAGAAAATCAATGAAAGATATTGAGGGGAAAAGCAAAGACATACTTATATACAGTGATATCATCAAAGAATACCGCAATTACTGGCAAAAGGTATTGTCATAGATTAAGACTGTTGTAAGTTAACGATCTCAACACACATCACACACACACACACACACACACACACACACACACACACACACACACACATCACATACACACTTATATTTATCCATACATATCCCGAAAGCACTAGTAGTATTGGAAATGGGCAATGAAATAGAGCTACAAATTTATATCTTTCCTCTGTTTGATGGCCTCTTTATTTATAACTTTTCATGAGTTTTCATTAAATATATATATTTAAAAAAATTGATGAACAGAGAGATGATGTTTATAATGGTTAGCAAAACTATAATAGATATTTTGCCGAAAATACATAAAACTCTTGAGTCAAATGAAATGAAAGCTCAAAATTAATGCTTTAATTCTTTATAAATCCTAAATCTAAAAATACTAAGAATTACGGCTAACTATATATTAAATAACATAAAACACATTTTAGTTTAGCAAATGAAATATAAGACACAATGATTTAGGGGTTGTCTAATGTTATATATATATATATATATATAGGATATATATTGGATATTATATAAGTCATTAATTAATTTATTAATGAAACATTCAAATATACGGTATAATATATATATATATACTATCAATTTGAATGGCGCGCATTAATATAGGTTAATTTTTGAAATGTTATATTTATATATATTATATAATATATAATATATATATATATACCTTTTATATAAATGTGTAATAAATAATTAATAAATAAATATTTCATATAAAGTCAAGTCTTACCTCTTTTTTGCATAAAAGAGAAGATATCGTCGAGAAATTCCTTTCTCTTTGGGTCTTCACTCAGTTCATAGAGCTGTCAAACAAACAAACCGTATAATTAGTTTACATTTTTAAACTTTTTTTTTGTTAGTAACTAATCGCTAATCAAATTCAAATCTCTCTCTATTTTATATTAATTTATTAATCGTATATAATTTTATATATGTATATATAAGTAAAAATATATTTTTAGTTACATTTTAATATCAAACTAATGATTGCCAATAATAAATAGGATTATAATGTCATTTATGTATATAAGGAAAAAAAAGTTAAAAGGATTGGCACCGCAAAAAATGCCTGAATATATAGGTATTAAATATTTATTAATATATTACAAACTGTTTTTCCAGTCTATCAAAGAAATATAAAATAATCCATAAAATGTCATATTTTGTTCATCTTTTCAAATGCTATAATAAATATATACATATTTGGAGTCTGTTTTAAATGTTAGCGACATTTCTATATATCTTTTTTCTCTTAAATCAGTGAATGAAAGTCATGTCATATGAAATAATTTCAGTCAAGCATAGAGTGAATGAATGAGCGAAACATTCAAAGCATTTATAAAATATTATATACTTTTAGATATTCGCTATATATTTCTCTTTTATTTTTTTTTTTTGCTGAACGGATGATCCTATCGGTAATGGTGTAGACGTGTGCTGAGTGTGCTGTCCACACGATACTCTATTAACTAATACTACCGGCACCGGCAGCCCTGTGCAGCGGTTATGTAACAAATACAAACACAGGCCTCTCTCTCTCTCTCTCTCTCTCTCTCTCTCTCTCTCTCTCTCTCTCTCTCTCTCTTAGTCATTCACTTATAATATATAACCGGCCCTTTAAGTGACTAAAAAATTATTGCAAAACATGATCTCTTAAAATGAGTATTCACTTTAAATATCAGATATAAAATGAAAAAAATGAAATAATTTATTTATACTTTTGTTGCTTTTAAATAAAATCTCAAAAAACAAATTCAAAGCTATAGTTCAAAATCCCTATATATTTATGAATAAATCAAACAAATAATACTTTTTATATTATTGCAATCAGTATTCACTAAATATTGTATACATATAGCGTATATATTTGTCATAATTTTTGAAATTTGAAATTATAATCCCTGTCTCTTAATAATAATACTAATAATAATTCCTATGAATTTAATCGGTATATTTCGTAATACATTTTTTGTTAAATATTTAATAATAAATATCAAAGAAAAAATACTAAAAAAAATTTGCCTGTAATTTAATATTAAGTGCTTAACTATTAAGCAAATGTCAGTTTTTATAAAAGTACGGCCCATAATAACAATAACTAATAATAAGCAAACATATACTACACATATAAAAAAATACATAATTCATATTAAAAAAAATTATAGTTTTAATGGGGGAATAAACTGCTATAAAATTTATGTGATTAATGATCGCTTGTCTTATATGTCTCTCAAACATATATAAAGTATTAGTTGTATTGTTTGTATTTCCAATTAAGTGTTAATTAGGAAATAGGGGTAATCTGTTTTCTATAGAAATAACCTTGATCTATTAACAATGCCTATTAGAATATCATCTATTTACATTATTATCAACAGAGAGATCAACCATCAAACGATGTTAACATTAATTTTTCTTATACAGAAAGTTTTGTAGTAAATTTTACATAATTTCAAATAAAATATTTTATCAAATTAGTTGTTTAATATTTTTTCAATAACTATATAACAACTATTATGTAAAAAAAATTATTTTTCATATTTAATTTGTGGCAAGTATTTCCGGAAATTTCCAAGAAATGTGAATTTTCCCGAAATAAATGTACAGATATACTAAGGGGACTAATATTATAAGTCACTAATAATTCAGGTTTTCTTCGATGTTATTATAAAATTAATTTTGAGGTATTTTTATAATACAGTTCATGTAATTAATAAATGGATTCTCACTAAACTATAATATTAAATGACATTAATAAAAGTCTCAAAATTGAAATTAAAATCTGTCTAAAAGTTTATAAATACCGCTAATAAAAGTACAGCTAATACTAACAATAATAATAAATTAATTTTAAAATTAATCCAATAGTGTCCTTGTAGTTGTAGTACTACTACTAGTAGTAGTATTAATAGTTGCACTAAAATGAGGCACAAATACAGGGTGTAATACCTCTTAAATAAAAATTAGCAAAATATCGGCTAAATATTTTATTTAAAAAAATTACTTTATTCTTACCGAAACAAAAAAAATATTTCAAACATTAATATTTTTGAATTATTTATAAGGAATTTATTTCATTGAATTGACTCGTTATTTGTTTGTCTTTATATATTATACATGCTTATAAATTTTTGTATATATATATAAATTTTAATATATTTTTATGTTATTTGAAAATATTTCAATTAAATGCAATTGATTTTTCAATTTATATTTTATATGCCTTTGAGTTACTTTTTATACTCTTTTCTCTAATGATCGCATCATAAAAATGAAATACAAATATATAAAATTAAATGTTAGTAGACTTACTATTTAAAAAAAAAATATTAACCAAAAAAATATTTTGCTATTTCTTAATAATTATTATTAAATTTGCATAAAAAAGAAAAAACTTATTTTTATTATTTATAAATAAATTATTCAATAAATAGAATATTGATTATATCATATAATCATGTATTTACTGAAAATAATTAAATAAATTGAATATTAATTATTAATATTTAAAGTCTAAAATAAGTATTTTGACAATTTTTGTCGATTTTCTATTTATTAGAGCGAAAATTGTGTAAATTTTTATTGTTTTATTAATTAAAAAAAAATCTAAATAACAATCTTTGATTTATGTAATATATTGCAATATTAAGCAAATTTATAGACTACATATAAAATTATAATAGATTAGATAATAATGACAATCATAACAATATTTACGGATCAATTATCATATAATTGAACAAATGATTGCTTTTTATATATCATTAAAACACATGTCTTAAAAGGCATTGACTCATAAATTTAATACATTTAATATCAAAATTATTATATTTTAGTTGTTTGTCCTACTATTATATGATAATATATTTATATAAGACCTGTATTTATAATTAGACAAAATTTTTATCGTTTAATTTGTTTGATTTTAACTTTTAAAAAAATTGTAGCCATCAGTAATAGTAATTATTGTGATAAATTAGATAAAATTAGTTTTTAAAATAATTTATAAAACTTTTTTATGTCGATTATAAACCATTTCCAATACTATATTTACTTTGCAAATAAAAAATTAGAAAAAATCAGACTATGATTAACAAACAAAAAACATAATGATTGATAAGTAAGTTGAGAAAAGATTTGTTTAAATAATTAAAATCAATGCATTTTTTATTCAATTCACTACAAAAATAGTGTATAAGGATTAAAATTTCTGATTAAAATAAACACAAAATATTGTCATAAAAAATCAAAAGAAAAATATAAAAAAATCTTATTTTATAAAGTGATTAACATAGAGATTATAAAATACCAAATAAATAATATACGTTTGATATTTTATTTTTCTTTAATTGAGATTCAATGGCAACAAATAATATTCAACAGATTCGCTCATTTTTCTCTCTGTTGTTAATTTTTCAATGATTTTAAATCGAGTTAAAGATAAGAATTTATTATTAGATGGGATATATATATATACAATATATACTGTATATATATACTGAATATACATTGAGAAAACATAAGTCATGTAATAATTAATTTGATAACTAAAGTCGACTTTAAGTTTTCAACAACAACAACAAAATTAAATTAAAAATAAAAGAAATCATTTTAGAGTCACGAGTTTTTTGAGAGCATTAAAAATCTGTTAGTAATTATAAATTATTTGGATTTTAATATGAGATACAAAATTAAAAATTAAAATAATTTCTTTCTCTCTCTCCCTCTCTTATAAAGCTAATGACTCTCAGAAAGTCATCGCTGAAATCAATGCTAAAATAATAACACAAAAAATCGTATCGCAAGACATCAAATAGTTTTTACTTTCAGTGTTTATATATTGCATATCAATGTATTAAAAATATGTGTCTCTCGGTATTGTAGTATAAGTTTATGTGTCTTTAATGACAGTGTCGTAAAATACAAAATTAATAATAATTCATATGTAATATAAAAATAAAGTACTAGTAATCATACATAAAGTATTTTTTGATACATTTGCGATGTGATTCACAAATAGATATTGTATGAGATAAGTGCTAATTATTTTTAAAAAATATTTTTAATACTTATTTAATTTGACTTTGAGGCGACTTTATGAGAGGCTTTATTTTTGTCATATAATTGCAATAAAAATGAAATCAAATTTTTTTATGATTTTCTTATCTATTTTACTGCTTATTAAATGGCTGTTATATTAGCCAATGATTCAGTGATTATAATAAATGAAAACTTTTTTTTATCCATTATAGAGATATCACTTAAAGCGATAGCAATTTATATAGACATCAGGAAAAGCCTTTTCACTAATTATTGAGTTTTAAAATCAATTACCAAATAAACAGATTTTATTATAAATCATTTAAATTAATGTTAAACAAAAAACATTTGAATTGTTTTTTATTACTAAAAATTATTACTATAGCAAAAAAATATTGAAATATTATACATAAAATATTAAATACAATATTTTTGTTATAACATAATAAATACAAAATGATTCAAATAATAATTAGCAATTATTTTTAATATTTTGAAATTCATTGCAATTTATATATATCTTTGATTTGAATAACAATAGTAATAATAAATTTCTCTTAAAAACTATATGATTATTGTCTCATTTGAAGCGAAAAGACAACACGTTTAATGAATTTTCTCATCGATTCAATTGGTTTAACATGAAGTTTGAAATGTATTTTTTGACATTAAAATTGTGAAATATGTTTACCATTTTTATTTTTTTATTGTTAAAAGTTGTCTAATTCACTGATATTATTAATAATAAGCAATTCATACTTTA